AACTGACAAGGCAGATCTGACGAAAAGACGACGCTCAGACCTGGATCTAAGCCCACCTAGGTCACTAGCAATGAGAGGAACGACCACCGCTATCCCAACCAACACCGCTGAAGAACCAAGTTGTTGTCCCGACAAAACTTCGTCGAAAAATGTGACGAGGTGAACGCCGCCATTGCTGGCTCCTACTTATAGCCAGTAAGGTTTGGCGAGCCGCCTCAGAAGGTATAGATTTAGGACCATCATATAAAAAGATTGGGCATACTTTTCTAATATTTATGTCTTTTCTTTTCATTTTCCCACTTGTATTGGACTCTTTTTCTAGTGGTAGGGAAATAACTCTTTTCCGAATTGGAATCCACATAATTTAATAAATAGGTGTGCTGCCTCACGTTTCCCATTTGAGGGATAAAAAAGATGCTCTAAATGTCAAATATATTATTTTCATTATATAGTTAATTTATTGGTCCTATATAAGTATTATTTGCTGCCTCACGCTTCCCATTTGAGGGAGAAAAAGATGCTCCAAATGTCAAATATATTCTTTTTATTTATATAGTTAATTTAATTAGCCCTATATATGTATTATTTTTCTAGTCTTACTTTATTGACAAATTATAGAATTATCAAATTCTACTCAAGTCTTACCATATGATTCGATAAAAACGACTAAACATTTGAGCCAAATAGATTAAACCATTGTCCCTATCCAATGCATTAGCTTCGAGGGGTTTCTAATTATGTCTCGAATTTTAGTGTTTTGCAATAATATGTATAAATTTCTTTTGGTTCGAAATAGTTTATATAGATGTGAACTTATACCGGTTTGGATTTTAAAATTACAAGGCACTTACGTAATTGAAATTATGATTATATTTTAAAAGATAAATCGTGGTCGTCGCAGAATTCCACTAAATGTCACAACCCATCACTAAATCGACCAGTCTGGCCATTGCTTCTTTTCCCAATCTTTCACAAATAATTCTATGTGGAGAGCCACAACATCTCTTTCTACTAAATCCTTCAACCTATCAAACAAGGCCAACGCACCACGTGTGCGCCCGTTGCGCGTGCAGTAAGAAATTAACACGTTCCAAACAAGGGTGTCCTAGTGAGGCATTTCCTCAAACACCTTGTACGCACTGCCACTTTCCTGCAGGCACGAGTACAAATTCATCAACATGGCCATCACGCAACCATCGGAGAAAAACCCATATTTCCATAGCCTGCTGAATCTAAGCCCCGCCACGCAGGGACTCGATTTTTGGGAGCAGCACTTGACATCCCTGGTTAAGTGTTCCTCAGCCACATGTTCCTGAACCTAAAATATAGGCGGCCCTCATATTCGATCGACCCCTTGTAATAAAAGAGAGGCCAACCTGCATACTCGGTCGACCCCGCATCATAAAAAAGAGGCGGACCCGGATATTCGATTGACCCTTGCTCATCCTCAAGGGCCCCTGAAAATTCAGGGATCTCGACCCAGAACAATGACATCCAAAGCTGATCATCAACAAACCGACCCTCGTCCCGCACCGCCATTGTAGCGAACAAATTTACCTCGGAGACGGTGTCCATAAGATCATTGTCACCGAAGAACGATGGAGGCAATCGGGAGCGGAGAGCCCTGCGAGTACCCCGACCACATCCACCGTGAAACCCCCCACCCTGAGGCCTCCACGTACTCCGTCAGGCGCACAGTTCGTACGACCGTCGTGTGCAACGACTTGTTGAGCCAGTATAATCTTCTCGACCACCGTGGTTAGATCCACGAGTAGGCGCCCCAGCGCGTCTCATTGGCACCACAACGCCTCGATCATGGCGTCTCTTTGGACCAGCACACGTCTGTACGGATCAGTCCCACCTCCAGTCCCACCTCCAGGTCTTTATCGGTTGATGAGAACGCCGGTAACCCGGATGGTCAATCTCTCAGGCCTAGGAAGCTCATCGGCGGCCCATGTAGCAGTCGAGGCCCCGATGGGTAGACCAGACATGGAGGACGTGGTTCCGCTCTAAGTTCAGCCAAATCTAACCGAGGTCGTGTAGATGGGACCACCGAGGAGTGAAGCTGAGCCAGCAAGTCAACAACTCATTACATTAACGAAAGAGAAGCTCAACAAGATGATAGTTGATGTTGTGGCATCTGAATGTGCTCAACAATAGGTGTCAAACGCAGTCACCCTCACTCCGATGACCATGAAGGATATGGAGGTCGAGGTCTCCAGCAGTGCGGCCACAGGAGCTCACCGCGACCTAGCGGTGGAAAAGATGGCAGAACAAATGAGAGAATTGCAGACCAAAGTCGAGGGGAAATGAGCAGAGCTTGAGGACACCCCTTTGCCATTAAATCTAAGACGGGGTGTTGCCGAGTGGATTCAAGGAGTTAAGAATCACGTATGATGGGTCATCTAACCTTTTGAGACATTTGAGGTCATTTGAAAACATGGATGTGTTACACGGTTACACAAACGTATTGAGGTGTAGAGCGTTTCTAGCGATCTTATGGGGTGGAGCTCAAGACTGGTTTCACCTGGGGTTGGTGAGGGATTTTCATGAGTTTGCCACAATTTGTCTTAACCAATTTGTGAGTTCCAGAACTCAGGAAAAGACCTACCTAACGTAACGTTGATGGCTATGCAACAAGAAGATGGGGAGACATTAAAGAGCTATTTGGGGCGTTACACTCGAACTTGTAGAGGTCCCTTCAACTTCTGGCGAGGTTAAAGCTCGGGGTTGTAGCCTTCGCGTTGGTCCTTGTCGAAGCTCATTAGCCAAGACACTAGCAAGAACGTATGATGAGGTGCTAAAGTGGTGTGACAAATATATCAACATGAAAGAGGCCAAAGTTGAGTTTGCTAAGCTGGAGAAGTTAGTTCAGTCTTAGGTTAAAAAGGAGATGAGATGAGATATTCACTTATCGAGATGAGATGGTTGATTCTTATGGTGAAGTGGTGGCTACGTGGGTGAGTGGGGAAGAAAAAGATAATTTGACAAAGTGGAGTGGTATGGTATTGACATGTAGTATGTACCTACAGGAATAGGTTAACTTAGAGTTGTTTAGATTCAATGTACTTAGACTAAATTATTTTTATATCTTTTAATTAATTTAGAATAAATATAAATTCCAAAGACTATATTAATTATTATTATTCATATTATTCTTCTACAAACTAGTGTGTATCCCGTGCGCTGCACGGAGAGGTTTTTACTTAAAACCTTTTCTAAGACTTTATATTATACATAGTAAAAAAAGAAATACTAAATATGAAAAATTATATATTATTTATTTGAATATAATGAGTGTCCCAACCAAACTAATAACATCCAACATATGATATATGATAAAATTAATTATATGATCGTCATACTTTTTGAAAAAATATACATATATTTCTAATAAACATGTAAGATCCGCATTTAAATTTGTATTTGGATATGGGATGAAAAATGAATATGTACAAATAAAAAAGTACCAAGAACCTACATAAAATGAGATTCTTTATAAACTTTAAAATATTTTGTAGTTAAGCAAATATTAACAAACAAAATCATCAATTAAGTTGAACTTATCGAATATAAAATATAATTTATGATATCATTGACCATATTTACCCGTTGTATTTAAAGTTATCATTGACCATATTTTTATGAATTAAGGTTTACAAAATATCTTTTTCAAAATAACAATTTTTTTTAATTTGAATTTGACTTTTTCATCCAACCGCCATTTTCCACAAGAATAAAAATAGTATTTTGGAAAATTTTAGACGTGAAAATCAAATAAAATTAATTTAATAGTAATCAATTAATTTAATATTATTCAAAATTGTTTAATTCGGTCAACCCGATCTTAGTGCACATTTAATTGAAACAATCGCTTACAAAAAAAAAGGTAATCGCTTACAAAAAAAGGAAGTGAAATCTATCTATATAATATAAATCGGATTTGGAAAAAAAAAGGAAATTAAATTTCATAATTAATTAATTTAAATTGATGTTATCCGATTTATATCAACTCCCTTCCAAAAAAAAAAGAAAATATCCGATTCCTACCAAATCGATTAAAAAAAAAGGATTATGATATACGTCCAAATAAATTACAATTGAAATGTAGGCGGGATTATGAAAAAAAAATAAAAAAAACTTTACCGAATGTTTGAAAAAAAAAATCGGATTAAAAAAAATTAAAAGGAAAAAATTCAAAACGTGAAATTAAAATTAAAAACGTGAATTAAAATTAAAAAAATTAAAAATACAAAATTTACCAAATCTCAACCCATCAAAAAAAAAGGAAAATCGAGTGAAATAAAACGTGAAAAAAAAAGGAAAAGCGAGTGAATTAAAAATGTACCAAATCGGATTTTAAAAAAATGGTAACAAATTTCATCTCATCCTAAAGAAAAGGAATTATAACAAATTTAACAAAAAAACAACCAAATCTTATCCTAAAATAAAACAATCCGATTTCCATAAATCACATCTAAAATCAAATTAAGTTAGGCGGGATAAATGAAAAAAATTCAAAAAGAGTTTCCAAAACAGGTAATCTTCGAAAAATTTGAGAGGGAAAAAATGATGTTTAAGCGGGAAATGAAATATTTATTCAAACATTTTTCCTTCTCCGTATTATATAGTAATAGATGTATATTGGGTAAAACTATTTGAGTCTAAAATTTATATTTCAAGATACTTAAATATTATTCTTGGATTTTAGATAATATGTATTACAAAATCATTTGTATAAATGGTATTATACCCAAAACACTTTTGAAATGTTTATATTTATTCATTCAGCTAAATGCTAATTTCTTAAACATTTGAAATAATGTAAAATAATAATAATAATAATAATAATAATAATCATACTAAGTTTATAAATTATAACTTAAATATTTTGGGGTGGTACACAAGGCCATTAAGGTCATCACCAGATCAGCCCGAGAAGCCCCACAGCAAACCATACGATATCGAAAATGCATGAATAAGATACATAATAAGCAGAACAATGCACAGCTTGAAAAACAACTCACACCAAAAATCACAGTACCAAGTAATGAAGAAGAAAAAAGGGAACCCTGAACAGAATGCCTCGGTAAATAAATGTGGCATGACTCATCCAAGACAATAAAAGGCATTGTTAGGTGATTTCACTGCACTTACATCAAGAAAAGAAACAAATAAAAATCCTACACAAAAAGAATAAAGGGCCCTCATATGCCTCAACAGGTAAAACAAAAAGATGAATGATACTATACTTTTCTCTGAGTATATCTTGCAAACCCAATTCACACATCTCAAATTCAAATCAAACCTTACGTAGAAAAGCAAGATTTCAAACCTCCACACATAAAAATCTTTTCGTAACTAATGACTTTCTCTCGAACGGGCACTGGAATGTACATCTAAGCTCAATATCTCCACCAAAGATCAATTTCTTAATCATGGTCCTCCATTTTGATTCCACTTGCATATATCGCCTACTATGCGTTACGTATCCCATAAAGCTTTTATGTCCTAAGCTGCAATTCCTGGTCCAAATGTAGAAACAACATATAAGATTAATTATCAATTGTCATCAATTATATGCACAATTAAGCCTAAAATAGCTTCTTGATTCGGCTCTCACACCTTCAAATGACTTTTTCTTTAGATACAACTAAATTAAAGAGAGCAAATCTAACACTAGGTGCAATTATTACTGAAAAAAAAAATCAATAGATTAACATTATAAATACTCCATTAAGGCCTAGCATAGCAAAGACACTCATCAAAATTCATGGATATAAGCATTCTTACCCTAGTTAGACAAAACCTAAAGAGATCTTTTTTTTTTTTACTTGGGATAGATTCATATACCCTAAAAGGTTAGATGAAAACTACATAATTTTCCCTTTTCACACAATGTTGGTTGAGCCAAAACATACTTCAAGCGAAGAAAACTAGAGAAGGATATCGATAGTACTAGATAGGAAGGAACTATAAATTCTCACCTCCGTTAGGTCTAGCATTAACATTGTAACCCCCAGCAAAACCAACCGAGTTGTTAGGTGTCATGTCCCCATTTGCACCACGTCCATCACCAAAACAGCCCTCGAGCTCGTGAGGAGATGAATCCCAACAGTGATCCGTGTAAAATGACTTGCTCCCATATAAACTCCCGAAACCGTCACTGTGAATATTTTTCCCGACAGCATATGAAGATTTCGTGCCTCCATTTTTTCCACCTAACTCATTTGCCCTCCCACCAAAACTGTCAATTTTCCTGATATTTCTAAAACTGCCAAATAATCCGGCATTTGAATTCACATTATTTGAACCATAATTAAGACCTCCATCACTGCTCCACAGACTCCGATTCGTGTTATTCACAAACGGCCCATTTCTAGTAACGCCCGCCACATCATGCCCGATGGGCCCACTGCCGAAACGATTTGTATTCCCGCTGTAGTAAGAAGAGTTAACACTGCGTCCATAGCCCAAAGCAGAATCCTGGTCAGGCCCATAGTTCAGGCCAAAGCCCAAATCCAAATTCAGCCCAATGCACGGACTGTAAGATGGATATCCTCTCCGGTCCACAGTCACAGGACTAAATCGACCTTCCATCCTCATGGGGGAGTTAGAGCCATATCCATTGAAACTGCTCACCCTATTCAGAGGTCCACCATAGCCATTGAAGCCACCTCCACTCGACAGGCTTCGAGTGGGGCCATTAGACAGCTCCTTGGGGACGGCAGGCTTGACCTCAACCAATTTTCCATTAAGTTCGTGAAAGTTTTTTAACAGAACCTTATCCACAGCTTCCTCCGAGTCGTAAGTGATGAACCCGAAACCTCTGGACCTTTGTGTGTTATGGTCGTACATCACCACCACATCAGTAATTGCCCCGAATTGGTCAAAGTGCCGTTTGAAGTCGGTCTCTGTCACAGTGGAGGCCAAGCCCCCGACAAAGATTTTCTTCGTGCGGGCAGAGCCTCTGTTGAAATTTTGATGATCATCCCTAGGAACAGCCTTCTTTGCCTCCACCTGATGATTTTGTGGGGGTTTTTAGTTGTCTGAAGTCTTTTTTGACTGAATGCATGCATGGTTATCGTGTAATGCATGGATAATCAAAGGCGTGAAATTTCTTAATAAATTGGATGTTGAGAAAAGATGATACGATTAATGGAGGAGGAGTTGGTAGGAATAAATATACTGTTAGAAGTTTCTGGAAGAAATGTAAACTTGATCATAAAAAGTAAAACCAAATAAATTAGCCAGCCAATCTTAAATACGTCTTCACGAACACTAAACTGCCATCATTGATTACTTTAAAAAAATCAATATTTTTGTGTTGTGACAAAACTATTCCAAACATGCACACAAAGAAAAATGTTTGGCGTTGGTAGAAAGACCTAACATACCATCTGGATGGACAAGGGGGATTGATTAGAGGAAATGATTTGGTGGATGGCTTTCAAATGAGTACATGTAAGGGCTTAAGGCTGATGTGAGGTGAAAAATGGCTAAAAAAAAAGCAAGAGGTAAAATATTTACTATACATTGGATAAGGATATTATACCAAAGATACAACAGATTTGTTTAAGATGGAATATAATATCCTTAATCTCAATCCTTCATCCAAATGCAACATGAATGAACACAGTACCCTTTACTGAAAGCAATCACAACAATCAAGCTCGATAGACATGATATTAACGATTGAAATGGCATGATACTAGACTAAACTGACGATGCTTAGTCATCTTTAAAGATTTTCAAGCTTGTTGCCAATGCATTCAATATTGACGGCCTAGAAAAACAAGAGGATGCTATGGCTATACAAAATGGTCGACATAGAGAAAATACATATTATATAATTTATGAGAGTGATAATCAACTAAAAACATAATTAACCGTATCAGCAGTAACAAACTATTTCAAAAACCAATGCACAGCAAAAGCATTAGTAAAATAGTCAGTAATATCAACAAGGCAACATAACAAATGTTTGCAGAAAAAACAAGTCCCCCAACTTAGGCTAGGCTAGTGGTCTTCAATAACTATGTCAATATCAGAAGCTTTAACCAAAAGTATTATTACCGAGGAGACAAACCAGAACCCGCTAGCGCAGACTACCTGAAACAACCTGTTTCTTGATTTCTTAGCCTTCTTTAACTATTAGGCAATGACTTCAAATTCAGATATCATCCAAGAGCCCTTAAAACCTCTAAACTATTATAGATGAAGAGCAATAGGATAAGAGCTCAAAAAACAATTCAAATGCTGTGCAAATAAACCCAATTTTGTGTGCAGAAAACCATTACAGTGCTTGGGCATGTATCATGCACAAATTAACTATAATAGAATTTCACCTTCCCAAATGGGTCAAATAATTCTAAATGATAAGGACAGGATATGACAAGTAAAATGCAAAAGACTACATTCCATATGAAATTTCTGAACAAAAACACAAAATTCATGACTCACAGTTCTGCCATCTATGACATGCTTTTCCCTGACGACTCTCTCAGCATCAGAAGCATTTGCAAAAACAATGAAACCAAAACCACGGGCCCTGCCTGTAGTGTCCCTCATTATCACAGCTTCAACAATCTCACCAAAGGTCTGAAAATACTCCCTCAGACGCTCTTCACTGGTGTCCCAAGAAATCCCACCAATGAACAGCTTCCCAGATTCCATTTCCATTCCCTGCACCAATTAAAATGCCAATTTAGCAGGTCACAAAATTTACTCCAACCAATTTAGCACCAATTAAAGAACACAACCCACTGAATGTAAAGAGCAAACAATTGATCCACTAGCAAGTGCAGCAAGATCACTGAACTAATACACATTACAATTCTGTCCCATGTATATTACACACCTTGATCGATATCATAACAGTCAGGAAAGCAATAAAATCGAATCGTTACTAAACACTGCAATGCAGATGCGCAAAAGAAAAAGCATACCTTGAAGAAATAAAATACAACAGAAACGCGGAGGCTGAGTAGGTTTTATCCTGCTCAGATGAGAAATTCTCACAGTTATTATTCGTTCAACAGGAGATCATCTGATCTTCAACAGATTGAAAAAACCAACATAACTCACAATGAACCCTCCTGAAAGAAAATGATAAAGATGTAACTTTAACTGTAAACGAGAAAAAAGATCAACACACAATGCGCGCTTGTATGTATCAGATAATCTNGCCGCGAGCCGTTCGCGACGAGAACCAGCCGCCAGGGGCGGACCTAGGTCAAAAAATGAGAGGGGGCCTAATTGTTTTTAATGTATATTTAGATATCGCTATATATAACATTATTGAACTTCAGATTCTAATTTTTTTTTTTTAGCCCAACAATATTAGAATTCAACACAAGTATATTTAAACTTAAAGTAGCCCATTTTGATATATTTTCACATGCACTTTTTTGTCGAAACATTTTCTGGAAATACTTCTTCATAATCTGACATATAAAATAAATTATAATGTATAATATGCTTTATCTAATATATCAGATTTTAAAGAGTCGTACAACTTAAGTTGTCAATCACACACATATTAAATATACAATATTAGTCTTTCTGATAATTAAGAAACAATAATTAATTAACTAAAAAATGCTAAAAAGTGTCAATAAGTTTTTAATTTTTCTGTAAAACCTAATAATAGAAGGGTTGGACTTTACTATCACCAAAATCAATGAGAACAAGATTTTATTTTCCAATTATCTCCTTGCTTTCCTATTTTGTGTTCCTTATCGTTTTTTAATGTAAATTATTTTTCTTTATATTAAACTATTTCATAAATTTTTAGGGATATTAAGTCATAATTTTTTTTATTTGAGTGTGGCCTAGACCCACCCTAGGCCATATTATAATCAATATCTAGGAGGAGGGCACAGATGGGAGGGGGCCGACGGCTGAAGGCCCTCCTCACTCTTACTCTTTTTTTTTTTTTTTTTTNTGTTATTATCAAAATGGGACTCGGTTATAAATTAGAAATGTTACTTAAATAATATTTATAAATTAAAAATATATGGAATCACATTGTAGTCAAATTGAATTTATAAATTGAAATTATAAAATGACACTTATTTTATAGTGAATATAATGTAACTTATTATTAGTTACGTGCACAGTACGAGCTGTTTAATAATTATAAATAGGTATGTTTTATGTAATTTCACAAAATTTAAATTCCATACAGCATTTTTAATAAATTAATACAGGTAAATTGTATTACACATTGATTCTATATTTTTAATTTACAAATATTAATGAGTATCTCTTACCTATCGCACGGGATCCGTACTAGTTTTATATACTAGTATTAGAACATGTGCATTTGCACATATATAAATAAAACATTATAAGTTATTCATATTCATATAATATTAAAATTATAAGTTAGATAATGAGATTAAATTTTAAACATAGAGTATTATAAGTTTTATTTATGTATATAATATTAAAATTTTTGAAATATATTGTAGGACCATTTTGCAGGAGGGTTTATTTCATGTGATTTGATTTTTCAAAATATTTGATGTATCTTTGTAATATCCAAAAAAATATTTTTATTATTGTATGACTGCAATAGAAAATAGAGATATTTGTAGTCATTATTAATTATTTACGTGTATTTATATAATACCAAAATATATATAGTTTCAAAATAAAATAAAAATATTTTTTATTTCAACACATAAAAAGGCGTTACAAAGATGACGTCATCCAAAATTAAGACATGTCAAAATAAATCCAAAATTAGGACATGTCAAAACAAATCGTGTAATTAAGTAACATATTTTTATTTAATGGTGAACATATTTTTATTATATGAATACCTATTTTTTATTAATTTTGATTGAATAAAATTTATTAAAATTTGTGCGCAATTATATATTTGTAAATAAAAAATTATGTTACTTACATATTATTTTATATTTTAGTTAGTGCACGACTAATTTCCTTCCTGAACAGTTCAGCACGCCCCATACACAGAAATGGCAATCATGTCTCTGAATCCTAAGTCAAAATTGAAACCCCTCTTGAATTTGTGTAGAACCTTCTCTAACGCTCCTCTCCCCGTGTGTTCAAAGGATAAGAGCAAGTTTATCGTGCCGCAGTATACAGCCCCGGGAAGGTTAAATTGCTTGGTTATTTCGATCGAGGATACGACTCATAAACTCGAAAGAGATATCAATTATCCAAAGCTTTTTCATAACCCCGTTGGGGCTTGCAATGGTTTGGTGTTGCTTGATTTCTATGGATCATATGATAAAGATACAGACACAGAAACAAGTCGATGCGAGGCTCTATGGAACCCCACCACCAACGAACTCAAGATCCTTCCTCCATCTCCCGCAACTTTGGATCCAAGGTACTATTGAAAATGCATCTTAATTATTCAGATTTATTTTCCTCATAAATTCGATAAATTGAATATATCCTGAAGAAGTACTCAGATTTATTTTTCTCATAAATTCGATAAATTGAATATACCCTGAAGAATTAAGTGTTCCTTGGAAAGTAATTGTTCTTTGGAATCGATCTCAATTACTTCAAAAAGTAAAACCAAATTAATGTGAACCCTACGCTACATAATAACTTTACCGAAAACGCTTGTTTCTATGATTTTTCCCCTTTTTTATTATTAATTTTCTTTATTGAAATTGACATATTGTTTCAGCTCAAATTTTTATGAATTTTTCTCAATTTTTTAATTTGTTTAGGTATGATTTTTATGATATTTTCTTTTTATTTTTTTAATTATATTATGTAATTTAATGTATATATATTTTGCAAAAGTAAGACTGATTTATTCATCTTTTAAACATTGCTTTTAGGCTACCAAAGACTGTTTAAATAACTATTTAGCTGATTTTTTGTTTTTCAGAGACGCACTTATTTTCAAGTCGAGCTGCATGTATTTTGGTTTTGGGTTTGATTCGGCGTCTGAGGACTATAAAGTGATAAGATTTGTCATACCTAGGGTTAATGACGCTAATATGATGGCTGAACTGTATTCGCTCGCAACTAATTCCTGGAAACCAGTTAACGTTCCTCCTCGCGCTGGTCCATGTTGGGGTGGCATTCACGTAAACGGTTCTTATTACGGGAAAAGTACCTCAGAGCCTGGTTTTATAACGTCTTTTAACTGTGCTACGGAGAAGTTTGCTTCCTGTCCTATTCATGTGCCTCAAAGCGAAAAACTCAATAGGCCATATTCTAATTTGACGCTGGTGGAATTTCGTGGTTCGCTTGGTGCTGTTGTTGACTTGTTCACTTGTCGCACTGATCCTTTGCGTAGTTTGGAAGTTTGGGTGTGGGATGACATCAAATGGACGTGGTCTCTGGTGTCCACGTTCGACGTCCCTCGTGCTATGAGTGCATGGAGCCTCGTTGGGAGTGATAAAATAATTTTTGTGGAGTCTCTTAATCGTGATTTGATGGTCTTTGACTATGCAACGGGCAAGTTGGAGAACATTGCTGGTGCACCTCAAGCTTTGGTACCGAAAATCTTACCTTTTGTCGAGAGCTACATTCCACTGAACTAATCTGGGAAATGATAAATGAGATGGTTGAGATGGTTGTAGGCTTTAACGAGCATTTTACCTTTTGTCTAGAGCAATGTTCCAGGAAAATAATATTTGAGTTGCGTTTCTTTCTTTTTTGGGATTGCTATGTTTATTCCATTAGTGCATGTCAATTTGGTTTGCTCTAGTACAGATTATATATTGACATATAATTTCATTAGTATATGTTCAGTGAGGGAGAGAGAAAACAGAGCGTGGCTCGTAGAGATTGATTCTCACATCCAAAAATGGGTATATGAGTGAAGATGATATATTTTGTATATTTTTGTAGTTTATTTTGTGTGTGAGAGAGAGAGAGCCTTTCGGCTATCCTTTCTCGTGTAAACAAAAGTAGGAGAGGAGACGATGGAAGCGCTACTTGGCCATGTAGTTAAGCTAAACTTGCTCTTTTGCCTTTTGCCTTTTGCCTTTTGCATCTCTCGATTGCACGAAAAACACAAGCATGTAAATGATCCACACGAATTGCCAAGATGTATATTGATTTAGGTGTCTAAAAAATGATTTAAATTATTTAAATGTGAATGAAGATACATGTTTTGATCGAGAACGGTGATTAGGGCAGGTCCTAGGGCCGGGCCGGGCCAAGGCCCCCTCTTACACCGAGGCCCACTTTTATATACCTTTTTAATATATGTATATATATAATAAAATATTGAATATAAAATTGATCTTAAATAATACTTTTTTTTATTTCTTAACAAGCTTTTTTATATTTTATCCACCTTCTAAATTTCATAACAAAATTAAATGGTAGTTATTATAGTGAAATTAATTTATTATTTTCTCTTATTCTTTTAATACTTTGTTAATTTTTTCTTCTTGCTTGAATATACAAAATGTTATTTTATGATTGCACAATTCAATTATGTTAGTCAAAAAACTCCTGCAGCCTCTTCTCAATAAACTCTCTTACATTATTTGTCTTCACTTTCTTAACCTTGCAATCATATTGAGTTTCCACCATTGAAACAAAAGATTGCAGCATTGTATCTGTTTATCTCTTATCCTTTAAAAGAAAAGCCCAAGTACCCTTACTATACTCATCAACCAAAGTAAGAAAGTAAAGTGTATTGGTTAGAGAATCTTCCTTACAAGGCCCCCATAATATCCAGATGAGTTAATTCAAAACAATGTTTAGTTTGTATGTTGCTACTAGGAAAAGGCAATCTATGTTGTTTTGCCTTGAAACATGTTGAAGCTAAGGGTTGAAAATGGCAAAGATGAAGATCAGCTGCAAGGGAGGTAGGAGTTGGAGCTGGGAGTTAGTTAATTTGGTTGTTATTTTTTCATGATAAAATCTCACAAGTCCCCTTAACAGAATTTTATTTTTCATAATCACAAAATACTGTGGAAAAAGAAAATTTGCAGACATGGCATCGATTTCTCTAATCGACTCTCAAAGTTTCAATGAGTATTTTCCGGGCTCGTTGTACGATTTTTCCAACTGCTCGAGTTTGTTTATTTTGAAACCCCTGATTCTAACTTCTTCGGCCACCGAGATATCTCTATAATCGACATTCTCAATGACCCATCCGGCATTTTGCACGAAACCACCCACTTTGACCTGCCGAGAGATATTGTCGAAAATCAGTTGACATATATATAGTGAGCTAACCACATAACCATGCAAAGATCTATTTTTTTTCTCTATGAGACAGCTTATATGCTGCTGATCTAACTGAAAATAACTATACCTATATTACAAAATTATTTGACTTTAACCTAGTTGCCAAAAGCTCCAACTATTCTCCGAAATTACAAAACAACCCCCTCAAACTGTTGCAAACACCCAGTGATCTTTGATTTTACTTGAAAAAATAAAGATTAGGACCTTTCGAACGTGCAATTTTTGGATACAAGCAAATGTTTCAAATTTTAACAAACAGCAGGGTTTTTATTATCATTATTATTTTTATTATTATTATTAACTCAAGGATACCTTTTGTAATTAATTCCATAAGGTTAATATCTGGTCATGGCCTAATAATACTCTTAAAAAATACCTCTGCACCATCTACAGCATCAATGATAAGAGCGCCATCCAACACGAGGTCTTCAAGGTAGATGCTTTGGCCCTTTAGTGCAAGGGTTGATTTTCCTGTGATCGAGCAATTTTCGGTGACTTTGCTTTTGACATCTGAAAATGTGAGACCCCAATAGGGTTTCCATACAATACGAGGCCAAACGTCCACTTGCTGACCGTTGAACACTTGTTGAGCTGGATCGTCTACCTTAACACCAGCCTGTGACAAACTTCATTTTTTGGATCAGCTAAGACAAGTAACTAGTTCTAAGTTATGTCAAAACTTTCTCTCTTGCTTCTCTATACAAAGGCTAGTGAGGTATGGTTTACAAAATTTATAGATAAATTGAGTGTAATAAACTATCAAGTCGAAATACTTGTAGGGTGGTCTTACTGCATACTGCAGCATCAAATTTGATGTTAAGCCTATCTCTTAACCTTTCAGTACTTGATCTTTTTTGTTTTCCCCTTAATTTCAACTAGGAGCAACAGGGTTAGGGAAGTATGCCAATCAAGAGTGTCCTTCAAACAATCATAATTACCAAGTCCAGAAGACAATATAAGAAAATTTTTAAAACTACAATGGTGTATTAAAGTGGCTGGTGGAAAATCGAGTATGAGCATAAGTCAGTGAGAATTGTTAGTAGGTGTAGAGCTTTAAAAGACAATACACTAAACACAACCACAAAGCTTCATATGAACTTCATCCGGATTTCAAGCAAAGTCAAATACCTTTCGCAAAATAAGGCTGTTTGCCCTATAGATGGCCATTTCTCCTGATGTAGCACTGTGATATGGATTACCTTTAGGTACCTAAAATAATTTCAATACAAGTACCGGGTGAAATTCAGACTCAACTTTAAGAACATGCATGCATGAAACAGAGAAGAAGTCATCGGTGAGACTAGCCAATAAAAGTAGGTGATTGGACTCCAACAAATAAACTTGCAATGGCCCAACCAAAATAATATGAAATTCTTCTCCAACTATTCGAAAACAAAATTCAGAGTGTGGAAAGAAAGCAAAGAGTGACTGAAGAATTAACATTCACTATTTATATGATTCCCTAATAAAAGGATCTAGTTTAGCATGTTCAAATATCCCTAAGATTTATACGTAAAATAAACCAACAATTCTTTTTTTCTATCTAATATAAATATTTCCATATATAATAATCAAAATAATTAAGCATAACCTTAGTAAAAAACTGGTTCTCATACCTTAGCTGCATCTTCAGGATTGTTTTTCACAGGTGCATAAGCAAACCAAGCATCCATCACCTGTAGGGTAACAATGACTGTCATGATGATACTAACACAGGAAATACACAGCATTATACTTTAAGACAGTGAAGAGAAGAAAGCATGTATGCTTACAGTAAATCCAACTCTAGCAGAAGGTGGCAGAGTTTTTGGGTAGTCTTGCATCATACATTCAAGCCGAGTAGATGATTTGAAGGCAGTTTTGGTAGAATCTTTGTATCTGAAGCAAATGAGAAAATAATTAGTGCCTAGTAACCTAGGATACAAACAACTGGGAGCCAAATAAGGAAAGTCAGCATTGATCATCTTTCTATCAATCTAGGAACAAAATTAAGACGATTTGAGAAAAAGAGATCTTACTTGGGGTTAACAAACTCCTTTATGGCACCTCCAGTTTTTGAAAGTTCCTCCAAATAAGGGCCGATTTCAAAAATCAACTGAATAAAAAGTGTGACAGTCAACCCTAAAACACATATATAAGTATATACAAAATTACAGCACAGGCAACAGTGAGAATATCAGGACACATAATATGTCGTATTAAGACTTGTTTCCTGGTCATGACCTCATCAAACCTTACATGCATTGGTCGTCCATGACCTCATCAAACCTCACTAGAAGAATATAAATGGCTGCCACATAACAACCCAAACAAAGAAACATAATGACACTATGTATAATATTAACTTTATTGCTACTGTGGCAGCCAGGTTAACAAACTTAAAACTAAATATAAAATGAACCAGAAGGATTTTCCTTTTGTATAACATTTATATAACAGAAAAACGAAAAAAAGAAAAGAAAAGAAGGTTTCTCTCAGAAACAAACCTGGTTTATGTTTCCAGGGTAAGGAGAATAGCCTGTTTCACAGTTAACATCACCATCTGGATGCCCTGTAGCCCTCAACAATGGATCTAGTTGATTGTATTCCACATTGATCACCATTGACCTCCCTGAAAAAAGGTTTAGATTCAATAACTTTGTATAGATACTGTTAGCAGTAGTGAGCAAAATACAAAGTGCGCAATCCTACAAGCTTGTAATATTTTTGAAAGAATTTTTCTGTTAACATTAACTGCTCCTGCTATACTTGAATGTAAAAAAGTGGTTACACTAACTTCATACTGTTTAGTTGGCCGGATGTTTTACAGCCTGACTTTTCATTCAGAATGACACGAAGTCCCTCTTCATCCTTTTTCCTTTTTTACAATGACGGAAACAAATGCCAAAATTTTAGAATATTCACAATCAATCCTGAAATCAATGTGTACTAGAAACAATAATAAAGTTCGACTCTATCCTCCAAAGAAAATGTGATCAATTATGTATACACAGACAAGAAAATTAGCAGATTATCACAGTTTTCAAATGTCACGTTGTATAACATTAATTATCTGTTATCACAAGACATCTTATTATAACCTACCATCTTGATGAGTGAGCCTGGTAATCCCACCAATAGCTTCCTTAGCTTTCCTAGGAACTGCAAGAGAATTAACATGATACTCTTTGATGACACTCACACCCAATGCAGACGGAATTGCCTGTAATTTCAAACATAAGAAGGATTGGCAAACAAAAAGGTATTAATCACAATGAGAAAGTCAAAGAAATGCCAGAAGTCATGTTTCAATTGAACCTTGAACAGAAGACCATTAGTATCTTGGAAAAACAAAACCCACTTTCGTCCAACTGCCAACCTGAATGGAAAGAACAAGAAAAATTATTATAAAAGTTAAAACTGATTAGTGAGTTGGTGTGAGAGGAAAGGTTCCAAGTTCCAACAAACACTACTCATTATTAAGGACATCAAATACATGTGTGGAACATACCATTCTTTAAGGAGACCACTCGAATAAAGAAGTGAATGAACATCACCATGGCCATGAGGTTTTGTCTACAGAAAGTTTAGACCAGGAACAAATAAGAATAGTGTTACAAGAATAAGAATGATTTTTCTCATCTTTACCATTATACATCCAGATGTTATTTTTCAGAAAAAGAAACTAAAGTAAAAAGCTACCTGGATTCTGTACTTATTCTTTGGGTCCACTGCTAGCCTAGCATCATTATCATCTAAACAAGCAACTTTTTCCTGTAAAAGAAACAGGAAATAATATAATACACTTCAATACTGCTTGCTGGCATCAAACTGGGACACTAACGGTTATTTACCTGCTTTAGCAATTTTATCTGAGAAGCTTTCATCCCAAAATAAGCATTTGACTCCAAAAGCTGTACCGTATGATAATGAGTGTCATCTGATGTCATTATCGCCAAAGGAATCTCTGTTGGTCCTTCTCCTAAGTTTTTGGAAATGACGGAAAAGCACATAAAATGTCTAAGCTGACAATTGTTTAACATGCAAATGACAATCTAGAAATAATGAATTCGAGACATTTGCTAAAAGCTTTATAAATGAACCTGGAGCTAGCCTACAGCTCGTCTCTTGTAAGGCAAGAATAGATTCAATGTAGTGTTGTAAGAAACATGTTCCAGTAGTAGACTCTACTGGAAGCGCCACCTGCAAGGGAAAAAATAGATGGTCAAAGAACTGAAGTTGAATTTTTCTTATGAATAGAAATACTTTTTTAAGAGTAAATTGTAATTTTAGTCATGTATGTTTCACTACCCTAACTTTTTCGTCCTCTTCGAATTGCGTTTTTTATTTTCGTCATGTATGTTTGCAAAAAGGTTACAAAAAGGTCATTTTCGCAACAAAAAGGTTCTTTATGTTTTGCAAAAAAAGGTTCCAATTAAAATTTTTCCAAACATACGGGACGAAAATAAAAAACACAATTCGAAGAGGACAAAAAAGTTAGGGTAATGAAACATACATGACTAAAATTGCAATTTACTCCTTTTTTAATTCTAATGCAGATTGATATATAGTAGGCACAGGATTGGAAAATCTGTGCAGGACTTGCAGAAAAGCAAATAAAAATTGATGTACACTTAACTTCAGGTTAACCATAGCATAAAATCACAAAAGCAGGGTAGAGAGATTAACTTTCTATATCACTAGTGGAAGTGTTACCTTTATGCCGTTATAGCCAAGACGCTCTCCAAGCCCCCCAGCAACAAGGACAAATGCAGCCTTCCTTGCCTCACGAACCCCAGCATTTTCGTATTTGATAAAATTATCATCACCGAAGGTTAAGATCTCGCCAGATGGAACCTATTCCACACACGATCAATACATAATTTTATTAAAGCGGTCAATGGTTCTACGGGAAACACGCAAGACCTGGGAAAATCTTTAAATGAAAATATAAAGGAGAACTGAATATGAAGGTGTCAAGTGACCCCTCTAGAACAGTTGATAGATTCGTGGAGGCAGACTACAATATACCTAAGAGTTCTTTGGTGAATCTAAATGTCATTTGGAGAAAGATATCATCAAGCAAGATCAAAGTTTTACAAAAGTTACAAACTGAACTTGAATCCATAGATTTGGCTTTTGAATAAGATGTCGGATGGGGATCATGCATTGGATACAGAATTTGGGTTTTTCTACACTTGTTAACTGTTCATATAAAAGGTCAAGCCATGCAAAGATTGACTTACGGACGGAGTAAAACCGTCGTATGGATTCTTCCCAGCTTTAGAGTCCGCCAAAAGTTCCCTAGCAGTTTTAATGTATGATGCAAGGCCACCAGGATAACTTGAATTGAGTCGATCAACCTGGAAGGAAAATGACATAAGGAATGAGCCGAAACAATTATTACAACAACAACAACAACATAGCCTTTAGTCCCAAGCAAGTCGGGGTAGGCTAGAGATGAAACCCAAGAGAAACACAAAAAGACTCGAACCAAAAGGAAGAGATCGAAAAAAAAAAAAAACAAATAAAATGTTTGCTTTTGTGAAAAATCAGAAAAATGTAGAAAAATGTTTGCTTTCTAGCAGAAAGAATTACTAATTTGAAAAATCTAGTCACATACCACCCTCACAGAAGAATTACTAATTTTAAAAAGCAGAAAAATGTTTGCTTTCTAGCAGAAAGAATATAAACAAAATGCATGGAGATGACAGTTAAGAACACTATAACTCATTTACAAGTCAAACTCGGACAACTGGCAGTATTAATGCACAAAGCTGCTTTTCATTTCTTGAATTAACTTTGCAAAATTATATCCATAAAAATGTAGATTAGATCCAGAACAAAAGAACAGAAAAATCTTAACATATCATGAAAAATCACGATACTTCGCAAATCAGCCAAAAGAAAAAAAACGATTCTGAGAACTAAAAAGGCTTACGTGAAGAATCTGATTTTCAAGGAGGGGCACAAAAGTTAACAAAAAAACTTATATGAAAACGAAATTGAACTATAACCCCATCACAATATTCTCCAAAACAGAAGCATATATGTGAAATCACACTACCTTCTGTTTCAAAGGCTCTGTTTATCACCTGCTCGAAAAAAGGATGGATCAAAAATATTAAAAAGGCTCGGGCAATCACCTGTTCAAAAAACTCGCGCTTGCTATCATCCTCAACCCCAGGCTCAGGCCAATGCTCGAACAAATGGCTCTGATTCATCTCCAGCAACACCTTCGACAGCTCCACCTGACAGAGCGTTGGAACCACGATCAAACAGTACCCATACAAGCGCAAACACAATAAATCCAGCGATTTCGAAAAATGTATACCTGGTGAGGAGAGAAGAGGGAGAGATTCTTGTGTAGATTGGGAGCTGCGGAGGCCAAATCATTGATGTCTAGTTTCGAGAGGGCGTCGGCGGCGGTTGATCCGGCGGTGGAAGTCGCCATGGCGTCGGTTTTCACGCTAGAGTAAATGATTTGTTAACGATGGAGATATGCGAAGTGAAGGAAAAGAGCGAAAGGTCTCCAACAGAGCTTAGTGGCTCTGGATCAGGTGGGTGCGTGCTGGAGGCAGCTATTTGGCGACGCTCACTAATCTCTGTCTCCTTCGTGTCTATGGTACTGAAATGTTTGAGGCTTTGTCACATTATTGATTATTTAGAAGCAGAANGAAAAAAAAAAAATAAAAAAAAAAAAATATATAATAATAAGGATGAATTCTCTAAAAATTAATTGTGTGTTAATTTTTACATGATAGTTTGACCAAGGATACGTTGGTTTATCATTTTAATGTCATACATATTTGATCCTCAAAATATTTTCATATTTTTTATTTTTTATCCTATTAGAGATAAATGCACCAATTAATATTTTAAATATTTTATACTAAATACATTTTACTATACATTCATTTATATTTTATGTATAACAACTCGAGACTAATATTCATTTTCATAGGAAAATTAAATAATAAATTTAAGTTTATTTCGTATATACAATATATAAATAAACTTATTGATACTTATAAAAATTAAATCAATTTTAACATCGTAAAATAAAATTAATTATATATTACAAATGAATATCAAATAAAAATATTATTAAGTTTTAATTTTTCAAAAGGAAATGACACTAATACTTATAAATTTAAATAGAAAAAAATCATGATTAGAAAATTTCTTGTTCTGAGCGTTTTAGAAAATATTTTACATTTCATTTTTTTTATTTTACAAATAATTTTTCTTGGAGTGATTAATCTATAATTGTATCCATTAATTCATACTTTTAAATATAAATAAAATTATAGATTAGGTCGAAATGAATAAATAATTATAATTTTTTGAAAGTATGATCTCAAGTTATTGATATCACATCATTAAAAATAAATATATAAATAAATTAGTTTGACAAAAAAAATTAATTAAAAATATTAAAAAAAATAATTAATAAACTTATATCAATTATCGTATCGCATTACTTAAAATAAAAATAAAAGTCTTACCATAGTGGTAGAAAAAATTACAAACAAAAAAAAAAAAAAAAAAATAATGTTTAAAATAATTTCCATAAGAATTTTTGGACAAGAAATCCACATTATCTATATTAAATAGAAACTTTTTAATATAAATATAGATTTATTTTCAGTTATAGGCTTATGCTTGAACTCCCCTGCACCGACATTCCCCCCAATCCAAACCCCAAAACCCCTGCAACGATAGAAGAGCTCAAAACCTAACCTACACAGACTTCAATATGTTAACAATACCCAGCGACCCTTGTATCCCTGTGCAAGAAGATTATTAATCTGTAAACAGCCAAACACAGAATGTTAAAATTATCGAGAATGAAATCACTTCTCAATCTCAGCTTATCTCTTTCCACCACAACTGCCGCAGTTCCTTTCTCCCACTACTTGCATTCCCAGCGCTTCATTATTCTACCGGCCGCCACAAAGCTTAAACCCCTAAAGAACCCTAATTTTCTATCTGCTGCAGCTGTGATAAATTCTATTGCTAATCACTGCAAACCCCCTAATTCGACTCACAGTCGTGGATTGTGTACAGAGGGCGTGGCCTCTGGTGAGATTCACGTCATTGTGGGACCCATGTTCGCCGGGAAGACCACAACTCTTCTGAAGAGAATGAAGGCTGAGAGCAGCAATGGCAGGTACGATGGAATTTTGTATTGTACTTTTCTTATTTTTTCCTTTTCATTTCTTTTGTTTTGCTCATTAGTTAGTACGGGTTGCTAATTCATCTTTTTTAATGAAATGCCTTGATAGCCAAGTACAAAATCCCGATTTTACTGTCAAATATTGAGAATGTATATTGCATTTTATGTTTATGTAGAATGTAAATTGTTTGTATAGAAAGATATTGGTTTTGATTGATATTAGTTCTTGAGAGTGCTAAAAGTAGAGTTTGCACATGGACGTGCTATCTTTAATTTGCTCTTGGGATATTCATAAGTTGGATTTCAATGTCCTTTGGTTCAACAGTTGGATGCTGTTATGAGTTTTACATTATCGCGATTGAGACTTTCCCAGATTTCAGGGCGACCCCAGAAAGAAATCCTGCCATCTGGACCAAACGTTAAAGGATCTTTGTTTCATGGGGAGAATTAAAGAAGCTGTTGGAATATTGTGCTGCACTGGTGTGCAAGTACTTCAGGAGACCTATTCTCTCCTCTTACAAGAATGCATTTTAAGGAAGCATTACAAAACCGGCAGAAGAATTCACTGGCAAATGGTGGTTGTTGGATTTATTCCCGATAAGTATCTGAAGATAAAGCTTTTGATCTTGTATGCAAAAGCAGGGGATTTGGATTCAGCCCACATTCTATTCGGCACATTGGTAACTAAAAGCATAATCCCATGGAATGCGCTAATTGCAGGATATGTGCAGAAGGGCCTGGAGCAGTTAGGCTTGGTTCTCTATCAAAGAATGAGACAGTGTGGTTTGATGCCAGATCAGTATACATTTGCATCTGTACTTAGAGCTTGTTCATCTCTAGCCTTTCTGGAACAGGGTAAACAAGCCCATGCCCTATTAATCAAGAGTCAAATTAATACGAACATCGTAGTAATCAGTGCTCTCTTGGATATGTATTTCAAATGCAGTAGCCCTCACGACGGACTTAAAGTGTTCAACAAATCATCAGAAAGGAATGTCATAACGTGGACTTCGTTGATATCTGGGTATGGTCTGCAGGGAAGAGTGTCCGAGGTTTTGGAATTTTTCCAGCAGATGATAAACGAAGGCTTCAAGCCAAACCAAATCACTTTTCTTGCCGTTCTCTCTGCATGCAGCCATGGGGGACTTGTGGATGAAGGGCGTGAATATTTTTTGTCAATGGCAAGAGACTATGGTGTGAAGCCGAGGGGAAAGCACTACGCAGTCATGGTCGATATTTTGGGACGTGCTGGCAGATTAAACGAGGCCTACGATTTTGTCCAGATGTCTCCCTATAAGGACCACCCAGCTGTATGGGGCGCCTTGCTTGGCGCGTGTAGATTACATGGGAATGTGGACATGATAAAGCTTGCTGCAAGGAGCTTTTTCGAGTTGGATCCGGATAATGCCGGAAAGTATGTTGTCCTATCTAATGCCTATGCGGCTTTCGGTTTGTGGAAAAATGTTGCTGAGATTAGGAGAGTGATGAAGGGATCGGGGATTAAAAAGGAGCCCGGGTATAGCATGATAGAGGTACAAATGAAGGCCCATTTCTTCTTTATGGGACATAACGCTCATGAACAAACTGGGCTAATACATGAGTGGATTATGGACTTGACCATTGCATTGAAAGATACTGATGATGCTCCGGACTTCAGCATCAATTGGTAGTAAAATTGTTGTCTGGGCCCTGTGGTTTTTCCATGTTTATTGGTCTACAGTTTGCACATGTCTATGAAGGTCTATGTGCAAGCAGGTATGAAGTTGAACTGCTGAAGTGAAGTGTTTCTTATAATGGCACATGCTAGATAATATCTAGGCCAGCCAAATGCCTCCGTTTTGTTGAATATTGAAGGATCGCTAGCTTGGATTAGAATATGAATAATTAGCTTATGAATGTTTTTATGAGCTATTTGCCGGTTTTCATTTTAAGACTTGAGAGTGTGGGCTTGTCCGATTCGGCTTGAAGGGACATTTTTCTCCCATTTTCTTTTTGGTCTCAGGAAGTTGACAACTCTTTTTCTTTGTTTTTATAATGTTTAAATCGAACGTTAATGGCTTATGATTTTGCAGAAGTGTGGCAATAATAAAATCAAACAAGGATGCTAGGTATGGGTTGGACTCTATCGTAACACACGATGGGGAAAAGTTACCTTGCCTACCATTAGCAGATTTGTCGTCATTCCGAGAAAAGCTGGGTGCTGAAGAGTATGCTAAGGTGTTTAACTCGACTGTAATTCATTTGTTTTCCACCCTATAGTTATGCTCATGTAGGTGTATCGTGTACGTCCTATCTCGTTTTGCTTAGTGATAATCGTGCTTATATTTTCTTGTGGCTCTTGATGACAGCTACAAGTGATTGGTATTGATGAAGCTCAGTTTTTTGGGGATTTATATGATTTCTGCAGCAAAGCCGCTGATCATGATGGCAAGACTGTAATAGTTGCTGGTTTGGATGGTGATTATTTGAGGTACCATTTCACTTTCGTTTTTCTTTGTTTTTTTAAGTTCTTGCTTGATATTGTTTCACTTGGATTAGATGGTGTTTGATTGTGATCTTATAAACTCGTGTAAACAGAAAAAGTTTAATAGCTTATATGCCCTTCAGAAAAGGCTGTTAAATTCTTAAATACATGCTAGGAGCTCATATGCTGTTTTGAACTTTAATTGCAAGTATTCGGTTACCAAAATGTTATAAGCTTTGTATTTAACATCTCACAAGCTCGCTTATCTTATACGACGACCTTATAATATCCTTTTGAAATTTACTCGAACTTGTCTTAGTCTGTCATAATTTTTTTGACCAGGTTTATTCTTTATATTAATTTACTCTCTTGCTTCCTCACTGGCAGGAGGAGCTTTGGTTCGGTACTCGACTTAATTCCCATTGCCGATTCTGTTATCAAGTTAAATGCCAAATGTGAAGTATGTGATAAACGAGCATTCTTTACTTTGAGGAAGACGGATGAGAGTAAAACAGAACTTATTGCTGGGGCTGATGTGTACATGCCAGTTTGCAGAAAACACTATGTAAGTGGACAAGTAGTTAAAGAGGCTACTAAGGCTGTCCTCGAGTCTAACAGCGTGCAGATTAGCGCAGTTTTGTAAATGTTATTGACTTTGACTGCTTTATTTATGAAACTTGGATGGTTTGTTATTATAGCCAGGCGATTAGATTGTATAAGGATCAGGATTTATTGGTATTGTGTATATTATCATTTCTTAGTATTTTGGGTTGACAAGATCCAAGTGAATTTAGTGTTTTTTCTTAATCTTCCTTTTTATTTTTTTGTGAAAGAAAGAAAAATGAAAAGTAGAAAATATTGCTTGAAATGTGACTGATCCTGATTCATTAATGTTTTATACTTTCGTAATGTAGCTGACAAGAGTAATCACAAAAAAAAAAAATTAAAAAAAAAAATGCTTTCATTGAGAATCGTACTCAGGGCAGGTAGCTGACAAGGGGAGTCATCACAAAAAAAGTAAAATTAGTTTAAAATCATATGCTTTCATTGAGAGTCGAACTCAAGACCTCCCGCTTACTAAACGGGTGCTCTAACCAACTGAGCTATGAAAGCTTGATGACACAACAAATTTCATAAAAATATAAGTGCACATATTCAAAGAAATGGCGTCAAAGTATAATTATTTGTGGCCTACATTGTATATATCTCAGTTAATTGGGTTATAAATATGATAACAAGAAACATATGACTTATTACAAATTTTAAAGTAGTACTGAGTACAAGGAAAAAAAAAAAAAATTCAATGATGAACAGTATTTAATTGTTTATACTTGAGCCTCTCATTGTACAGATAACTGGTATTATACTAGTTAAAAAACAACTTTGTATCAACAGGTACTAAACTGGACATTTTATTACCCTAAACATATAAAGTTAGGGGAAAGATATTCTCCTACCTACCAAAGTACATTACAATCAAAGCACAAATTTAGTCCCACGCCAGATTTAGAGCTTCCAATCAGAAACAAAGCCCATCAGTAATGGCATTATTAACATATGTGCAAATAGCCCCTCTGCAAACAAACAGTTTTTTGCTTTCATACTTCAATCGCTCAAACATATTAAGCACAATATACAGAGTCAAAAGGGAATACGAATACACAACCTCAAAACGAAATCTTAACCAAGTTCTACAAGCATAACAAAGTTATTTTACTAACAAATGGATTTCCGAAGAACAAAAGTATACAGCTCTAGTAACCATGCACTAAACGAGTTTTTTCACGACCCAACTTGAAGGTGAACACAGTAAAACAGACAATTGTGACATATTCTCAATCGATGCTGCCCTCTTTGATAACAGCAAGCACTTTTTTACCACCCTTTGTCTGGATAAGTTCTGCAAAATGTGGCTTCAGAGTATGCACCAATGAATTGTACAGACTGATCAAGCCACGTTCCTGAAAAGGTCGAAAAAAAGGAAAAAAGAAAAAAAATTAATCGATTAGTCTTGCAAAAAAAAAAAAAAGGCTTCAAATGAAGGATGGGAAATTGCAGATAACTGGGGGTGTACCTTAGTCATGCGTAGGGCCTTTTGAATCACGTAATTTCCAAAATGATCTTCGGCTAATTCCTGGGGTGCTTCATTGCTCCTCAATATTTCCTCAACAATGGACAATAACCAACTTTCAGAAATCTCCATGCATCTCTCCACAATATGAGAACCGACCTTTCTCCGTGCCAGCTGTACAAACTGGCCACGTAGGCACAAGAATATCCTCGTATTCACTTCTTTGTGATTAAGTTTGAGCACGTTGTGCAGAACAT